TTTTTTTATTCAGAGTTAATTGAATTTTAACATAATTTTATTTTCGGTAATATATATAGATATCGTAATCTTTTGGAAATATTTATGAATTAAATTAGTAAATTTTTATTTCAATTAGGCAGAATTAATTTTATTATGGAAAATCTTATTTGTGCATATTTAATTTTATACACACATTAGTTTATATATAATATTCTATTTTTTAATCAATAAAAAGCTTAATTTATTTATTTATTTCAATTTAAAGTGCTATGTCCCCCTAGGGACACTTGCACTGTCATACATGTATGCCTTTACATTTGTATATACATATTTACAATCATTTAACGCCGTAAAGAATAGTCATATGATAACAAAGATAAAGAGACAAAAAAAATTCAAAACAGAGATATGTGAACAAAAGAAAAAAAAAGTCTTGCAATGTTTTATATAATATGCACAATTATATTTAATAGTTTATAAACGGAACACATTCAAAATATTTCGACATACATTTTAAGATAAAACATTTATAATCTAAAACATTTTTGATTCAAATGAAAACATTCACACACAAGGGTGTTCAATAGATAATATTTATACTTTTTAATGAAATTGTTCATGTTGACATCTATTTTCAACATCTTACACTCTATTTTTATCTATAACACAGTCTCAATTCTATAAAAATGAATTCAACTCAATATTTAACAAATCAATAGTAGTTTTGCAATTATAAAAAGCACGATTATAATAATTCTAAAGTTAACAAAGCATTTTATGACATACCTCAAACTCTCTGATGAAAACAGAGGGTTAATGGTAATAATAAGCTTGCATAAATAATAGGATATAAGATAGCTATCATATCAAATAAATAGATAATGGTATGGACATTACTAGATTGTTTAATATTATCAAAAAATAACCAAAAAGGAGTTTATTGTAAATTTTCTGTAGCTTTCTAGATAACATGCCATTCAACAGAATATACTAATAGTATAACTTCTTATGAAATAGAGAAATCCATAAATAAATCTTCAATTAAAAAGGCATATATTGGATCAAAAAATCATTTATTTTACCAATATTTCAGTTGGCTGAACGCCAACCTTTAGTTGTTTTGTTGACACACATTAAATATGTTATAACACCTTGATAAAGGTTGGCGTTCAGCCAACTGATTATATTGGTAAAAAAAATGATTTTTTTTTGGATCCAATATATGCCTTTTTAATTAAAGTATAACTTCTATAGAGTTCGCTAACTAGAAGTTAGTTAACTAGTATAATTAACTAGACGTTATACTACTATATATATATAGTTGCTCCTGTTGAAAGGCATATTGGTATGAAAGCTAGAGAACTAAAGAAATATAAATGTGCAAGAAACTTAGCCTTGGATTTTAAAATATTGTCTCGTTGGAAAATAGATACGAGGAGAGGCAAACACAAACACGAACTTTATTCTCGATAACGGTCTACCTGAAATTGTAGTTACGCACATATATATAGCAATTACACAATTCAATACAGACTATATATATATGTAAATATAATACAATCTAAAACAAAAATAAATAAATAACGAATTAACCACGCTACAATTTATTAAATCATAAGTCAGCGGCTAAACACTTATACTTGGTTGTGTTTAGCTATAATTTAAATTTTGAATACAGGTAAATATTAATATAACGCTTTTATATTTGCTCTCGACTTAATTTGACTACGGCCTATAAAATGATCCGAACAATCCTGCCGTCAATTACGTGTTAGAAACGGCCCCACCTTTTGTTTGCGTTTGAGAGGAATGATACAAATGTGCCTATTATATAGGATTCTTATTGATATTCTAACCTCAAAACTCTGGAAATGACCCCTTTCAGACCTAGGTCATGTCAAAATATCATCCGAATAGGTCAAATATTGTGAAAGCTATGCGGAACAATTATTCCTATATTCACACAAACATAACGGCATTTTTCCTTTTTTATATATGCAAATTTATATGCCAATTCTATTTAATAAAATTGTTCAAATAGGCCCCATTAATATACGAATATATATTAATATATATTCTTTTATATATATATATATTATAAATATATTATATAAAAATGATTGTCCGCTGATTTTTGATTATCTTTTATAGAATTATTAGCTGTTGCTTGATTTTGGTATCCATGAGTATATTACGATATTATTCTGCAGTCGTGAAATATAATAGTCTTGATCAGATATCGCTTTAATTGAGCTAAAGAGATATATAAAAAAACATAATTTGTTAATATCAATGCCTGGCTTAAGGTGTAAGAATCTAAAAAATTGAAAAACTTTTTTACATAATGTACAAAAGATTTGAGCCGGCCATCGGTAAACAACAACAATGAGTTTTTATAGGGGAAGTGTGACCTCTGGCGGTCGATTTAGCAGAGTATTTGAATCTATTAAATATAATTTTAAATAAAATAATATGTTAATATAACATATATATGTAGTATATTTTGAGTTTTAGATAGATCACAACCTTCTTCTGATATTTATTATAACCCCATATCTATATAAAAATATGTATCGACCTTGTAACAAAATGACAAATAAACAAAGAGGTAAAGGTAGTCTAGACGGGGACAAAGGCCAGACGTGATAAA